CTGCTTCACTAGGCCCTGAACTTGGAGAGTGTGAACTGTAGCCCCTTGCATCCTGCAGTATGTCCTGGGGGCCCCTGCGTCCTGCTGAGCACCCTGCTGAGAGCTGTCTTTTTTGCACTGTGGAATGTGGGGGCCGACTCTCCGCTTCCATTGAGCTCTTCATTCCCATTTGCATACAGAGTGGGCTTTGTGTTGCCTCCAGTCACACACTTGTTCCCCATTAACACTATGTTTTCTACTGACTAACACATCTTGATTGGAATATGGCAGTTACTTGGGTTTATAGAAGAGAAGAAAGGGTGCCGCTCACTAACCCAATGCACCAGTATGTAGATGAATGTGGCCTCAGCCAGTGCCGCTCCCACCATGCTCCCTGACATGTTTCGCCCTGCCCATTTGGGATTGACATCGGTGGTGCATTCCAAAGCAGAGGTGTTGAACTCCATTTTATCATGGGCTGCATCTGCATTGTGCTTTCCATCAAAGGGCTGGTTGTATCTGTAAGACTAGATGTCCAGAGCACCCCACCCCCACATGTATAAGATGCCAAGAGCCGCCCCCTCCCCTCCTCCCTTACATCACATTAAGCTGGCAGTGCAGCTGGGAATCAGTGCAGGATCTGGATGAGGACCAGAGGAGGGTTGGAGTCAGCTGCATGCTGACACCAAAGGAGATGGAGATGAGGTGGTGCTGCGGCTGCACAGAGAGGTGCAGGATCTATAGAATGAGTTCTATCCTTTTTCTCTTCTGCCAACTGCTGAGATGGGGGGAGGGTGCAGAAACAAGCCTCTCTGGTGCTGCACAGAGAAGCGCAGGATCTAAAGGGGGAGTTCTGTCCTCTGCCACTGCCTGCGGAGCAAGGTGGGGACATGCGTGTGGGGGAGGGGGTGCCAAAGCTGCAGGAGAGTTGCGAGGGCCACATGAAATGGCCTGGTGGGCCGAATTCAGCCCATGGGCTTCATGTTTGATATGTTCTAAAGCAGCCTTTCTTAACCTTTTTAACATGGAGGAACCTTTTGAAATACCTTTCTGGTCTCGGGGAACCCTTGCTACAAATGACTAGATCTACAGCTCCTGGTACATTGGTATGATGGCCTTTTTAACATGGAGGAACCCTTGAAATACCTTTCTGGTCTCAGGGAACCCTTGCTAAAAATGACTAGATCTACAGCTCCTAGTACATTGGTGTGATGGCCTTTTTAACATGGAGGAACCTTGGTGTGATGGCCTTTTTAACATGGAGGAACCTTGGTATCATGGCCTTTTTAACACGGAGGAACCTTGGTGTAATGGCCTTTTTAATATGGAGGAACCTTGGTGTGATGGCCTTTTTAACACGGAGGAACCTTGGTGTGATGGCCTTTTTAATATGGAGGAACCTTGGTGTGATGGCCTTTTTAACACGGAGGAACCTTGGTGTGATGGCCTTTTTAACATGGAGGAACCTTAGTGTGATGGCCTTTTTAACACGGAGGAACCTTGGTGTGATGGCCTTTTTAACATAAAGGAACCTTGGTATGATGGCCTTTTTAACATAAAGGAACCTTGGTGTGATGGCCTTTTTAATATGGAGGAACCTTGGTGTGATGGCCTTTTTAATATGGAGGAACCTTGGTGTGATGGCCTTTTTAACATGGAGGAACCTTGGTGTGATGGCCTTTTTAACATAAAGGAACCTTGGTGTGATGGCCTTTTTAACATAAAGGAACCTTGGTATGATGGCCTTTTTAACATGGAGGAACCTTGGTATGATGGCCTTTTTAACATGGAGGAACCTTGGTGTGATGGCCTTTTTCACACGGAGGAACCTTGGTGTGATGGCCTTTTTAACACAGAGGAACCTTGGTGTGATGGCCTTTTTAACATAAAGGAACCTTGGTATGATGGCCTTTTTAACATAAAGGAACCTTGGTATGATGGCCTTTTTAACATGGAGGAACCCTTGAAATACCTTTCTGGTCTCGGGGAACCCCTGCTAAAAATGACTAGATCTACAGCTCATAGTACATTGGTGTGGTGGTCAAAAGGAAGAATTTTCCTTACATTTAAGGGCAGAAGGAAGAATTCTCCTCTTAAAGATAGCTATAAAGATCATTGTGGTCAGTGGTTACCTATCTGAGAGGAAGACATTGCTCAAGGAACCCCTATAAATCTCTGGAGGAACCCAGGTTGAGAAAGGCTGTTCTAAAGTGTCTTCGAAAGGAAGAGAGTGACTGACACAGAGCAAATGAGGGTTCTCCTTACATTTTTTAGCACGTTGTGTCTGACAACATCCTAAGAAAGCAAACGGGGATCATGATACGTGATTATACAGCCTTTCCTGCACGTCGGTTTCATGAATTTTTTTTTTTTTTTTTAAGGTCCAGTAACTTGCAATTGTGTTGGATGTCCCAAATGTTGAGTTGTCACCAGGAATAGTGGGGAAATCTTCCAATGGGGACACCTGTTCCAGTGACAACTGGCTGGCTTGCACCGTTTGCATAATCTCAGTTTAAAGACGAGGCAGTTTTCCATGACGTGGGTCCCGACCACCACGTTGCACGTCGTACTTTTTTTTTTTTTTTTTTAGCGCAGGTTGTGATGCTTCTGCGGTCAATAGAACCGAATGAAATGTCATGTATAAAGTTCTAACAAAAAAAAGTAAACGCGGTGGGCCAGGATTAACATCTATCCTCCCAGCGCACACCAGTAGACGTATCACTCGGTGCGCCTTGCTGGTGTGAATGGGTCCTAAGTGAGGGTTTCTCCTAAATGTGGGGAGCTCTTCTCTCATCTCTCGTCCTGTTGTGCCATCAGACAGGAAGTGAAGGTAGATCTCTCTAATGGGACTCACAAATAGATAAAAAACTAGACCGAGGTTATAACCCCATAAACTTGTCACTTGTTAGAGCTGTGTGACCATTTTCTTCACCCGTTTTAGGATTCTGGAGATGTAGGCGGTGAATCGTGTTTTCTTGGGAGAAAACGAGGTGCAGGACGTTTTTCGGGGAAGAAAGTGGGAAGACAAGTTGATACATTGTGACAGGTGTAGAGGAAGTAATGACGTATGGAAATGAAGATGATTATGGAAAGAGCTGCATCCTCCTGCAGCAGAGAGTAGCTGTGGATGTGACGGTTGATTTGGAAAAGGGCCGGGTCCTCCAGCAGCACAGAGTATTTCAGGCGAGGGATGTTTTGATCTGTCCAGCCATGTAAAATGAGAGGATTGTTCCAGCACGCTCCTGAATTTAATGTCCTTTCTCCCCAGTCGTATGTAATGCGAATCGTGGGATGGATGCCATGGCAGTGGTATCGCCATGATTCTCTGCGATCGCCATGATTCTCTGCGATCGCCATGATTCCCTGCGATCGCCATGATTCCCTGCGATCGCCATGATTCCCTGCGATCGCCATGATTCCCTGCGATCGCCATGAATCCCTGCGATCGCCATGATTCCCTGCGATCGCCATGATTCCCTGCGATCGCCATGATTCTCTGCGATCGCCATGATTCTCTGCGATCGCCATGATTCTCTGCGATCGCCATGATTCTCTGCGATCGCCATGATTTTCTGCGCCTGCCATGATTTTCTGTGACCGCCATGATTTTCTGCGATCATACTGGGGCTGTTTAACCTGCCAAAACAGTTCTATTTCTGTCCATCCTGTCCTGATATCTACACAGCTCTGCCACATAGCGCAGTCCTATCTGGCAAGGCAGGAGACCTGATTTTTTCACTACTTCGGTTCAGTAACTCTTACAGGTCTTTGTCCCTCCCCCAGCCTGTGATTGGACAGTGAAAGGAGAAGCAGACCGATGTGCTCACCTCTTTGTCAGCCTAGGTTCACACTGATGCCGTGCGGGATTAGCCGCTATTCCTGTGCTTTTCCCGTATTGCATCACAGTCGCGCTGTTCATGCGCACTGCTACGGGTGTCTATGTTGACACCCCAAAATGGTTTGTGAACCATGTCAACGTCCATGTGATCCGATTCCAGTGCAGCACAAAAAAAAAAAAGGGCATGCACCCTTTTCGTGTGGATGTGATTTGAGCCATACAAAATGAATCGCACTGCAAAGAATTACGTTTGATTGGAACAGGAATGACGTGTGATTCCTCTCCGAATTGCATACGGTTCCCCGCACCACATCCGTGTGAACCTCACTCTTCTCTCTGCTCATTATTATTATTATACAGGATTTATGGCGCCAACAGTTTGCTCAACACTTTACAATATAACGGGAGACAATACAGCAACAATACAGATCAATACAAGAGGGATAGGAGGGCCTGATCCTGGGAGCTTACAATCTAGGAGGGAGGGGCTAGTGGTACAAAAGGTAATACTGTGGGGGATGGACTGGTAGGAGGAGTAGAAGATTCTATTATTAGCTGAGGGCGGGATAGACTTCCCTGAAGAGATCGGTTTTCAGAGATCACCTAAAAGTGGGCAGAGTAGGCGACAGTCTGATAGATTGGGGTAGAGAGTTCCAGAGAATGGAGAAGTCCTGGAGACGAGCATTGGAGGAGGAGACAAGGGAGCTAGAGAGCAGGAGGTTGTGGGAGGAGCAGAGAGGATGGTCTGGCTGATATTTGGAGACAAGATCGGTGATGTAATTTGGGGCGGAATTATAAATGGCTTTATATGTTATTGTTAATGCTTTGAATTTTATCCTTTGGGCAACGGGAAGCCAGTAGAGGGATTGGCAGAGAGGGGTGGAGGACACTGAATGGAGGCCAGTGGAGGGATTGGCAGAGAGGGGTGGAGGACACTGAATGGAGGCCAGTGGAGGGATTGGCAGAGAGGGAAGGAGGACACTGAATGGAGGCCAGTGGAGGGATTGGCAGAGAGGGGTGGAGGACACTGAATGGAGGCCAGTGGAGGGATTGGCAGAGAGGGATGGAGGACACTGAATGGAGGCCAGTGGAGGGATTGGTTGAAAGGGGTGGAGGACATTGAATGGAGGTCAGTGGAGGGATTGGCAGAGAGGGGTGGAGGACATTAAATGGAGGTCAGTGGAGGGATTGGCAGAGAGGGGTGGAAGACACTGAATGGAGGTCAGTGGAGGGATTGGCAGAGAGGGGTGGAAGACACTGAATGGAGGTCAGTGGAGGGATTGGCAGAGAGGGGTGGAAGACACTGAATGGAGGTCAGTGGAGGGATTGGCAGAGAGGGGTGGAGGACACTGAATGGAGGCCAGTGGAGGGATTGGCAGAGAGGGGTGGAGGACACTGAATGGAGGGATTGGCAGAGAGGGGTGGAGGACACTGAATGGAGGGATTGGCAGAGAGGGGTGGGGGACACTGAATGGAGGGATTGGCAGAGAGGGGTGGAGGACACTGAATGGAGGCCAGTGGAGGGATTGGCAGAGAGGGGTGGAGGACACTGAATGGAGGGATTGGCAGAGAGGGGTGGAGGACACTGAATGGAGGGATTGGCAGAGAGGGGTGGAGGACACTGAATGGAGGGATTGGCAGAGAGGGGTGGGGGACACTGTGTTTTGAATTTTATCCGTTGGGCTCTGATCAACTGAATGGCTGCTTGTTCTGCTTCTCCCTCTCCCAGTCACAGCTCTGCTGTACCGTTTGTACAGGGCTCTCTGGAGGCTGACATTAGGCCAGATTCAGGTCTTTACATTGCTTGTGTCTAACAGACATTGGATGATGTAATAATGAGGACACAGCTGTGTCTTTTATATCTGCCTGGAATTGGGGTTTACATAGAATTCCAATGTGAACGATAATATGGAGATACAGTGTAAGGGAAGAGCGATCTCAGATTGTGTCCTGAGGGGTACATTGATACATGGGTGAGTGTGACTTCCAGCAGACATTCACAGGTGGTGAATCATTCCCTGTAATTGAGGACACCTGTATCAGGAAGACTCCCCTGCACAGGATCAGTGATGAATGTCACATTCTCTGCTCCGTACAAATCCTCCTTTTTTCTGACATAACAGTGAAGCTGCATGATTCAGGACATTTGTTGGTGAGTCCGGAGCTGTACCAGTCTGGATGGGTTCACAAGTTCTGCTCCACTTTGGTATCACCAGTATCTGTGGTAAGCTGGCAATCTGATTGGACAATCTGCTTTAGATCTACCAGTAATATAGAAATTGCACGTTTATGTGGATGATAACATGTCTGCTAATGTGGGAGGGAAGTTTGGTGTCACAGCTGTGGAATGGGCAGCCAGTCCTTCAGTCACACCTATAGGCATCGCTGTACATTCATGTGTGCTTGCTCCCATCTATTCCCTGTAGGCCCTCCACGCACCTCCACACTTCAACAAAAAGAAGCAAGCAACCTCCTTGTGTGTTGTTGTTTTTTTTTTTTTTCCATTACAGCACCACACTGAAGGTATGTTTTAGTTATGTTTTAGTTATATGGACGTGTGTTTGGGGTCCATTTTAAATGGTCACACCCTGAGAAGCCATACACAAGCACTAACATGCGTCACAGTGCGTGTGACGGGGCGTAATCAGGGCCTTTAAAAGGCAGATCTTCTTTACATGATCTAGCCTTGGTTCACACTAGTGACGATGCCTCTTCTCAGTGTTTTGGTAGTGTGACTTTGTACGTTTTTAACACAATTTGTTTTTTTTTTGTTTTTTTTGGGGGGGGTTGTGCTTCATGTGTCTTTTTTTTGTTGTGTTTTTTTTTTTTGTTTATTTTGGGGGTTTTTTCGTAGTGAGAAACTGGATTTTCCCCACTAAACAAAAAGTGCATGTGCATACTTTTTCTTGTGGTTTTGATGTGTTTCCATTGAGGTTTGTGGGGCAAAACATGCTCTTCACTGTGCAAAAAAGGCGCCTGCACCTTTCCAAAAAAACAAAAATCTACTGCAGCTGCACTGCATTGGTATGAATGGGCATCATAGTGAATAGTGTAACTTCCAGTGTTGGACAGTGCAGCGTGACCGCACTAGTGTGAACAGGAGCTTCCAGAAAACACAGCAGTGGACTAAAGAGGAGGCTCAGATATCACCTCACTGGCTGACTGGTATAGAGTTTACTTCGGGAAGGGGGGGGGGTCCTTTTTTTTTTTTTTTTTTTTTTTTTAAATATATTGTGTGTATGTATGTACGTGTATGTATGTGTATGTATGTACGTACATGTATGTATGTGTATGTATGTACGTACATGTATGTATGTGTATGTATGTACGTACATGTATGTATGTGTATGTATGTATGTACGTATGTGTATGTATGTGTATGTATGTACGTACGTGTATGTATGTATGTATGTATGTACATGTACGTGTATGTACGTACGTACGTACATGTATGTGTATGTATGTGTATATACGTACGTACATGTGTGTGTATGTATGTGTATATATATGTATATATATATGTGTGTGTGTGTGTGTGTGTGTATGTGTGTGTATATATATATATATATATATATATATAAAATGTTTGCTCGGGGGTTACTAAATTATTATGATGATACTAAAAAAAAAAAAAAAAAAAAAAAAAATATATATATATATATAGATAGTGTTTTCTGGGGGAAGGGGGTAATTTTTTCATATGTGTATTATTGATATTGAGGATAAATGATATATTATACAGTATACACACAGTAAATATAAATTATCATTATTTATTTTGAAACCTTTCCTAGTTGTTCTAAAAAAACCCCAAAAAACTCTTGTGTTATTTTTATCAAAGTAGTGGTTCTCGGAGTTCCTAAAGGGATGGATCACATTGCCCTGTACGGCGGGGATTCGTGTGCCTCTGCCCTTGAACTTCAGCATTGATTCCTGGGGAGGTGTATACAATTATTGCCCCTCATGACACAGGACCACCTGTTTGGCATAAAGTTTATTCACTTGTAGTATTCCTGCAATAAAAACCTTTGTTGTGGCCTTCGCACTCCCAGATAGGAAATGATGGGGGAGGGGGGTGATTTACAAATTTGTTCACACTTTAACTGTCTGCGCTGTATGGCACCTGTTGCTGGTTTGCCGCCATATTGTCTGTTGGCTATGAGCTCAGGGATGATGGTGTGGTCTGTGCATCAAATATAGAAGTAAAGTCAATGGCATGTAAATATACCTGTATAGATGTGTGTACCCTGCCGCCATTCCTAGCTGCCTCTACACCAATGAAAAGTCAATGACTACTGCTTTTGACCCCAGATCTTCCAGATCCTTGGGGCTCATTCACATGGGCGTTGTGACATAAACAGCTTGAATGAGCCATTGGTTGACGCGTGCAGCCTAGGTTATGGGGATACAGCGGCTGTGCTGATTGCAGACACATGTCTTAATTTGACAGAGGTGCAATGGCAGGTACCACTCGTGGCTGCCAAATAAGCGCATGCAGCTGTGTCCCCATAGAGTTTCATTGGCTTCCTGCACACAGCTGCAACTACACTGCCCATGCGAAGGAGCCCTTGGAGTACATACGTGTCTAATATCAGAGCCCTGTCATTGTCTACATTTCTAATAAAGTTTATGTAAAACCTGACAACGAGCTTCTCTTATTTACTCTCCTTTGGTGTTTTTTATACCATTGGAAGGGTTTTATTACATTTCCTGGATACATGCCAGTTCATCCTATCAGAAACTCAGAGCTGTCCTGCACTTCATGTTATGGCAAAATGCCGTTGTTGTTGTTGTCATCTGCAGAATGATAAACCTTCATGTTGGAGAGATATTGGGGAGGTTGAGTACCTAAGCACTGGGCAGGGCTGACACCACTCACTCCACAAAAGTGCTCCGTGTTGTCATTATTTTGTTTACTTGGTGATCACAAGACTGCAGGGCCTCCTTGTGCTCTCTTCCCTACAACATGGGGGGGGGGGGGGGGGGGGGATATTGGTATAGCCAACACGTAGGCAAAGTATGTTCTCATACAGCGCAGAGCAGTACCTTCCCCCACCTATGTGCACATGCATTCCAGCACTTTGGACAGAGAGGCTTCTACCAGTGAGCCACTGTCAATCCTCAAGGCTGTGCATGGTGATCAAAAAACTGACTACAGGTGATACGGGAGTGCCATGTGTCAGCATGCCATCCTGTGTCTCCCACCAAGAAAAAGATTTTAAAAATGACCGCACTAGCATGGATCTGCTTCCATACTTGGTGTGTTCAGAATAAAACGATGATGGGAAGTGGCAGGATCACCAGGCCGTAAACATGTGAGTTTGAACAGGTTACATTTACCTGCAACAAAACAAATCAACAGACAAACTTGTGATAATGTTTTGGGCGGTGTACACCTTAAGTACAGGGTACTGTTATGAGCACTCAGGGGCTGGGAGGATGCAGTAGGTTACACAGTAGTCATTATCTTCGGCATTCCCTGAACCTGTACTTTCTTTGCCGGCAGTAGAGGTAACCAAGAAACCCATCCTAGGTCAGGGCAGCTCAAACTTTGGGATGGTATCTTCTGCTGAGACATACAAGAGTAAACCTGCTGGATTCCCTGATTCCATACCAGCAGTAGGGGTAGCCATGATATCCATCCTAGGCCCGGGCTTCTCCAGCTTTAAGATAGGTGTCTCAGCTGAGAAATTTAGAGTAGACCTGCCAGATTCCTTGAACCTGTATTTTCTTTGCCGGCAGTAGAGGTAACCAAGAAACTTGTCCTAGGTCAGGACAGCTCAAACTTTGGGATGGTAGCTTCTGCTGAGACATACAAGAGTAGACCTGCTGGATTCCCTGATTCCATACCAGCAGTAGAGGTAGCCATGAAATCCATCCTAGGCCCGGGCATTTCTGGCTTCAAGATGGGTGTCTCAGCTGAGAAATTAAAGAGTAGACTTGCCAGATTCCTTGAACCTATACTTTCTTTGCCAGCAGTAGAGGTAACCAAGAAACCCATCCTAGGTCAGGACAGCTCAAACTTTGAGATGGTAGCCTCAGCTGAGACATACAAGAGCAGACCTGCCGAAGTCCCTGAACCTTTACCTTCTATGCCAACAGTGGAGGTAGCCAAGAAACCAGTCCATGGCTCAGGGCATCTCCGGCTTTGGGATGGTAGTCTCAGCTGAGACATACAAGAGTAGACCTGCCAGATTCCCTGAACCTGTATCTTCTATGCCGGCAGTAGAGGTAGCCAAGAAACCCCTCATAGGTCAGGGCAGCTTCAGTTTTGGTATGGGAGCCTAGGCTGAGACCTACAAGACCTGGACCTGCCAGAATCTTCCTTACGTCTAATCCCTGTTAGGGTGCATGTGGTTGAACTGATAATGTTTACATTCGATTGGAAGATGACTTTGGGTGGCTTGGTTAGGAATTCGACTGAGAGTGGAATCTTTTTGTCAGCAGAAGAATCTGTGTCCACTGTGACTGTGATAAATGGAGGTGTGATGGGTGTGTAATACATTACCGTCTGTTAGATATTAGTGGCTTCTCTGCCCTTTCCAGCACTGAGCACAGTGACCGATGCTTTTGTGACCCATATCCCAGATCTTCATCATACGGTGTGCCTAAGCTAAGGGGCCGGTCACACTGGTATGCTGCGCGTCTATGTGTTT